AACTACAAGCTTATTGAGAAATAAAATTTGTAAGCTTGCGAATCTTACTGGGTCAGTTAGACAAAATAACTTGGTCTACCGAATGCTGTTAGGACCCTGCCCAGATCAACAATTTTCAGAAACCTGAGTGACACGAGAGGATATGAGAAGTCTTTCTGTGACTGTGAACAATGAAAGAACACAAGTTGATAGGACTATAAAAGTCGGTTATCGAAAATTACGTAATTGCTTTGATATGATCATGTGGACAATAATTAATGCTCAAATCTTCATCCAGTTTAGAAGAGTGAAGAGTAAGCCCCTGAAATATGAAGTGACTAAATAAGCTTTCTTTGTTTCCCCAGATTTTGGGATTCTTCACATGAACACGATGCTGAATCCTCAATCCTGACTTATTGGTATCGAGAACTTAAACTTCAGGCTTAAGGGTAAGAACCTCACTTCCGTCTGTATAAGGAACGGAGACTGAGTTTGTGCATAAAATTCAAGGATTCATTCCAAATAAACAGATAGACAGATCAGCCAAGAAGCTAACACAAAAGTACATCAGTTCCGGTTTTTAAACTTCACAGTAGCACTCAGTAAAGAATAATCGAATATTACAGGAGACAGAAGTGTCAAAGACCACAGAGGGTATATAGATAAGGGTTGGTGTAACCATTGAAGACTTTGAAGATGACATAAAGTGTAAACATGTGTCTCACTGTGACCCACTTCCATTCAAGAGTCTTCAACAAATGAGTTCAAACAGCTGTTGCTACACAGCTCAGACAAACAGTCAAACATTTTACGGATTGGTACAAAGTCTTGTTCTGGTCACCAAGAGCTTCCTACCAAAAACACTCGTATCTCACATGGCGCAGCATGTTCAGTTAGGCGTTAGGCAGATATAAACAATACACGTACCTTAGTTACTAGTTATTCAAAACTTCATCGTTAGACTTAACTTACTCCAAACTCTAGCAAACATGAGTACTGCTACAAAAATATTCTTAGCCATAAAACTGAATAGGGTGGATTTCTACACAGAATACTCCTTCTTTTGTTGGTAGTTAGGCACTTCAGTGGTACCTTAAGTGGTACAAGCTGGTAAATACCGAACAAGCTTTCTGTATTTAAGCTGAAACTGTGTTAACAATCAGTCCACAAATTAGTGAAATCGGTCAACACACTGAAACACTTCACCTGTTATAAAAAAGCTGACAGTCGGTCGAGACCAGTTAATCAAAGCCTGAATATACGAATTTTGAACCTCCTATGAAGAATATTATTTTACATTGAGGCTTGGTTTGAACAGTATTTCCTGACAGACCGAAGGATATACTCTGTCAACTGATGAACTTATCCTCCATCTAAATATATTTCATTTCTTCATCTTCCTTACACACAATCGTTACATTCTACTGGTTGTTCCTTATCTGAAATAGCTTCAAGACCACAGTTGCACTTAGCTGAATGCAGGTATCAGGCGGTTTTTTAAGATTACAATTTTATTACCGTCCAGTTATCCAGAATAGTGGTTATGGTGGGTTCTACAATCAACTTTTAATTATCAGGTTATAGCCATTTCACATGCGATTAAATGTATCATAATCTGACCAAATTAAATTATTTTTAATATTTCCTGTTGCCTATCATTAAGAAAGTAAATGTAGGCAATTGTGTTACCTAGGTAACTAGTTGATGAAATAGACCGCTAACCGATATAATTTACCATGATCAATTCAAATTAACACGTTTGAATACATAGACTGCGCAAAAGAACTTAAATATGTTCACCTTTTTATATAGGGTGCAACTAATACTACTATAAAGTGAATTTAAGTAGTCGGTTCACAGTGCTTTGAAAAAAAAGTGTATATTCTTAAGGGATTAAAATTTGCGAAAGATTCTTATGTTTCTATCGATTTTTCGTATAGTATAACAGCAAGCAGAGAAAAATAGCTGATTGCCCAATGTTTCCCGTATGAAATATGGACTACATACTCTCCGTTAATCTTGGTCAAGGGTCTAACTGTTGGCGTATATGAGTTCATTATCAACTAGTGTCCATCTTCAATTTGACGACTATTGATTCCATTAAATAAATATATAAGAAGGTTTTTTATCACTTAGTTTCCACCCTTTTTGCCTTTCCCGTCTTCTCACCTGTAATTTTCAGCAGTATGCTGATGATGACTCCTATTTAAAAACATATCAGTTAGCAGTAATCCTCAATCAAACAGTAGTCGACCTTTCATAGGGTCATGAAAGATCTGAAGGAATAAACCCATTTATTCATGAATAGAACATGTATCACCGAAGAAATGTCTCTCTTCAGCGACTTCATTAACAAGTTGCACAGTCGTATTTATAGTCGGTAAAATGTCTGATAATTCCACGACAAAGAGTTACTCAGTCAACTTACACAATGATACATTTGGTGTTGGTGATGGAATTCGTTCATGTAGAAGACATAGAAAATGGGTGAATGAATAAGAAATGAAGTGAGATGACAAGTACTAAGATACAGAGCTGGGTGATGACTGAATGTGGAATGATAACTTAGAACACAGCGCTTTCCAACCAGCCATCACCCGCTTTCCAACCCAATCCTCTACCAACTGAGTTACGAGATCCGACTGCTGACCACATTCTAATTTCACTTCAGTCACCAAAACTTTAACTTGACTACTACATGAATTCGTGACGTGTTACCATCGCTTGATCGTATTCGCACACACTGGCTGCCTAGTCACGACTTCACATCCAAATTCAAATCCAACTAAATTAGAGAAGAGGACCGTCATCTTGATTACCATTTTGACTATCTGAGATAGTCGTGGTTTGGCGGACTAGTTTTTTACTGGGTGATGATTGAAGCTAAAATGAGAACTTGGACTTCGATCGATTTCGAACTGGCCATCACCGAGTTTCCAACTCGATGTTCTACCAACTGAGTCATGAGGTTCGACTGCTAACCAGATGTTTATTTCACTGCCATCAATGAAGGGTTTTACTCAACTACCATGTGAATTGGTGGGATATGGGCTAAATGCAGTCAATCAAGTGAAAATTGGAGATAATGAAGATAAAATAAAAGAGAAGTATACTAAAGTGGAGTGAAGTGAACTGAAACTGACAAAAAAGCCGAAAAATGAATTGTTAAGGCGGAGGTAGAGAAATTGGTTTCACAAAATGTTTTTCAATGCAAAGACTCAGTTTTTGTTCATATATAGGCACTACTTATGGCTCAATTCAAAGTTCAGTCTATCACAAACCAACTTGAACTGGTCAGTTCACTAGTTTTAAAAAAGTATCTCATTCAGTCTCTGTATTCTAGAATCTGTAAAATCTGTTCAACAGACATGGTAGATGTTGAAACCGAAACTCTTAGAACAATACTATGGAATAATGGATACTTTGAAAAGAATAAAAACCTAAACAAACGAATCAGTCCTCTTTTTATTATAGTTTCTAAGAAAATTTTTCATCATAAAAACTGAAATTCAAAGGGAACATCAAAGCCGAAGTGTTGTAAAAGCCGACTGTGAAAGTCTATAAATAGTACCTTTTATACTACTAGAGTAAGATTGATTTTCATCAGCTGTCTTTTGATTCTACAATGCGTGATGGATAATTAACGTACTAATTATGTCGACAACTATGTGTATCTACAAATTCACATACTCCTGTGGGGCTGATTACATTAGATGTTTTAAGCGGGTCCTGTGAAAACGTGTTACTGAACATTAACCCGATTTGGTTTACCAAAGGTGAGCGAAGAAAAAACAACTTCATCCATATATAAACAACTAGTAGAGTTAGGTTATTCAGCTTCTTGAGATTCATCCTTTCACGTATTTAACAATGGCCTACGTGTTCACCACTTATGCATAGCTGAACCACTACCACTACGCTGTCAAAGGCCTTCTCAAAGTGGATGAAGTTGAGGTAGAGGGTTAAGTTGACTGCCATTCTATACTTTGTTCTGTGATGATGCGTAGAGTAGCGTTGCAATTTTTCCGCACATGATTTGTACTTCCTGAATCCAGCCAGCCTGTTCTGGTCGTAGTTTTGAATCCAGTGCATCCTTTAGTGTCCCCAGGATGATGAGGCATAATATTTTGCTTGAGGTGGACATGAGCATGATTGAGCGCCATTTCTTGCAAATGCTTAAATAGCCCTTGTTTCGGAGTTTGAAAAGGTTTCTCTTCTTCTAATCAATAGGCAGGTACGTTTCCTTCCTTCCAGACCTTCTGCAATAGTGGTCTGAGCATGTTCGCCGTTGTTCCTGCGTCTGCTCTCAGTACTTCTGGCGGGATTCCATCTAGTCCTGCTGCTTTCCCTCATTTCAGTATCTTTATGGCTTTCAAGAATTATACCATAGTCAAATTACTGAAAACTATTGAACTGTGAGTAATGTCAACGTGGACTGTGGAATTTGTAAATCATTTGGAAATTGATCATCCTACTTCAAGTGTACCAGTCCATGTAAGTCAACTAGCCAGCCAGATTCAGGTGATCTGAATTAATTTGGCTCTATGAGTTTAATTTGTTGTAGTACACCTCTGATTAGCTCGACCGCCAAACGACTGTCTTATATTTAAATCACTCTTATCTAGTTGGCTGATGAACAACAAACCACGAAAATATTAATGAATCAAATCTGCTCTTAGTGTGTTTTAGTCTATTCAGAAGAAAGAAAGTACAACTTTTTCACATGGAGAATCACTGAGAGTAGTGAACATCTGTTTATCCTAATTTGAGCCACCTCAATGGCGAAAAATCATGATCTCGTCTGTTTTCAGACTTTGGACCGTCATATCTCATGACGACTACATTTCCATTCAGTATCTGGGGAAAACACTGAACACTTCACTTCTTCTTCCTTCATCTATTATTTCATGATTATATTTTCTTTTCACACCAAACATAGTTCATTATGTATAACATCAGTTCTTAGTAGAACTTAGAAGACAATATAACAGATAAATAAATCAATAAACTATTGTACTTACTTCATATAATCGTATAATATTTGGATGATGTAAACTTTCCAGGATGGATATTTCACGACTGAGTAATCGTCTAGTTACTGAATCCATTTTACTCTTATCGATCACTTTGATAGCAACACGTTCTGTCAATTGAAGTCAACAGAATTGTCAAGAGGGACACAGAGAGAAGAAAAAAAGAGAAAGGAAAAACAACGTAAAAAACAGTCAGTTATTCATTTCCACCTACCATCTTTATTTCAAACTCAACGGTTACTCAAATGAAAAGAAACGTGTAGAAGTTTACAACGAAAGTACATGGCTCTATGGATAATGATCTGATTAGATGTATTGATAAAAATCGATTACAAAAAGGTTGTCTACGACTAACAGTCAGTTGGTGTTCATGTAAACGAAGGCTAGTAGGGTGATCACAATTGTCGTAGTGTTGGTTTTGTAAATAATATTTGTTTTGTCTTCTTTCACCATTATGTCCCTCGATATGTAAATTGTGGTTTGAAGGGAATTTGTTAGTTTACGAGCCATATCAATTCCAAGGGGTCGTGATTTCTGATATATTCTTCATGTATGTTAGGATGTCCCCTATATGGACGATATTTCTGTTGTCATTAAAGAAGATGATGGAGAAGATATTCACAGTTTTATCAAATATGAATGTAAGAACATGAAATTCACAATGAAGAAGGAATCGAACAACCGACTGTAACTCCTAGATGTTTTTCTTAGCATACCATTCCATATTAGATTTGTTTATTTGATATATAAAACAGAGTGACATACTATTATATACTGGATGATATTCCAAGCATAAATCATCATTCCTCATTATCATATCAATGCAATAACATCTGATTTATATACCACCGTCACCTGATATTATTCCTTTCCATCGGAAATAAACTTTCCCATATATCTCTCCTATACGAGTTACATCATTCCTACTACATGTAAAACGTGGTGTCGATTCGATGAACAAATATCCAGTCATCAATCTCTCTCACTCTACCTCCACCTAATTATACTGGACTTGAACAGCACACTGGTTTCAACCTACTCACCATATTGTCTGATTGTGTGTTCATGTATGCAGTGCCATTGCAATAACCGAGTACGTTTTCTAGATTATTGATCTTATTCAGTCAGATCTATACTTCTATATTCAGCTAAATTTCAATGTTCCGCTAATCTATCTAACTGACACCGACCAGCTAGTCTGACCTATGTACTTGACCTGACTCACGGTCATTGTATAGATGTATCGGATCCCAAAGCCAGCTGACAAAGTGTATCTCTGAGTGAGTTTGTAGGTTTAAATCCCACCGTAATTACAGTCTCGTTCAGGATCCTACATAAGTTTTCTCATGTTCCTTCCTTATAGAGTAACACAATGGAGGCTGTTGACTCCTTTCTACTTATGTTTTCCTCATTATTTGTTTTGTATTACTGTTATTATTTCGATTGTTATATGTTTGTAGGAATTTTTTGATAAACTCTAGAGGATAATTATTAACTATCAGCGCTTCTTTTACGTGCTTCATTGTCCAATTTTAAATCCTTACAATGACTAATGAGTTTCTAATCTGTATCATTTACATATTTGACTAAACCTACCTTAACTGACATTGGATGGGATGATACAAAGTCTAGATATGTGTTAGAATGTCTTGGTATCATATAGACAATAGTATTCAAAGCACCATCTATCCTTCGTTTCATTCTACTAGAGCTACATGGTAATATTATCGATAGAAAGAATTCACTACTTCAGAGTAGAGAGAATGAAATTTGTTATACTCCAGTGACCAACCACTTTGTATGATGTAGTGTTACAGGTGGTTGATCTTGTGCAAGTTTCTAGTTGATAACATCTGTGACAGAAGAACTAACTATCTGACATGGATTGTAATGCTTAAGACAACATTTGTTGTCACCAAGTCGCTAACATGTCTAGCTGATGAGGGCAGAAAAGTACAAGACAAGACCTATGACTTTCATCGACTGTTTCTAATCAGCTAACAAACAAACTCATGGGTTAGATATTTCAGACTGATTGGACCCTAAAGAAAATATATAATCTCTCCAATCCTTAGGTTCAATCTCCCCTAAGTTGTGACAAGATTATTTTCTGCATCCGTGTTGATCCGAATTTAACATCTCTTACACTTTTCCGTATCACTAATTCTCATGGGAAGTTTTTTATGACATTTACTCTAATTTTAACTAGTTCATCTGTAAGTTTACTAGCTACACTATAATTAGCTACTTATGTGCCAATAAGTAGTAAGTATGAAGTGAAAAGTTTTTATCGTGATTTTTAATTCAAACACTTTTACAATGTTCACACATTGTGTTGATTGATTGGTCAAATCGTCCATTGCTTCCGTCTGGCGCCAACGACTGACGACACAAACAAGATTCTCCGATATGCATACTGGGTGAGAAAAAATATCTAGGCCTTATATTAAAGTACTTCATATATGACTGTTTTCTACAAACCTGTATATACGAGCACGTTTGGCTGAATAACAAAAAAACAGGATAAAAAAACTCGTGATCCAGAATAGGCAACGCCTGTTCATCCACATCATATGATCCTTTTAATTTTTTGTTACAAACGAAACGCCTACAGTCTAAAACATGCTAGAAGTTTTTATCTCTTATGAAGATCTAGAAATTGTTTACTTTGTGTGAACAAAATGTGGTGAACAATGGGTGATATGCTACTGAAATCTATATTTAAGTAGTAGCTGGATAGTATATACGCAGATCGGAATGACTGAAGCAGTTCACTCAATTACAATCCATATTCAACCATATTCATGTGTAATAAATCAAAATCATGACAGGGGAGGGAGGGAGTCAGTCTGTACCCTTCAATGAAAAATATCTAACCCATGAGTTTGTTTGTTAGCTGATTAGAAACAGTCGATGAAAAGTCATAGGTCTTGTCTTGTACTTTTCTGCCCCCATCAGCTAGACATGTTAGCGACTTGGTGACAACAAATGTTGTCTTAAGCATTACAATCCATGTCAGATAGTTAGTTCTTCTGTCACAGATGTTATCAACTAGAAACTTGCACAAGATCAACCACCTGTAACACTATATCATACAAAGTGGTTGGTCACTGGAGTATAACAAATTTCATTCTCTCTACTCTGAAGTAGTGAATTCTTTCTATCGATAATATTACCATGTAGCTCTAGTAGAATGAAACGAAGGATAGATGGTGCTTTGAATACTATTGTCTATATGATACCAAGACATTCTAACACATATCTAGACTTTGTATCATCCCATCCAATGTCAGTTAAGGTAGGTTTAGTCAAATATGTAAATGATACAGATTAGAAACTCATTAGTCATTGTAAGGATTTAAAATTGGACAATGAAGCACGTAAAAGAAGCGCTGATAGTTAATAATTATCCTCTAGAGTTTATCAAAAAATTCCTACAAACATATAACAATCGAAATAATAACAGTAATACAAAAACAAATAATGAGGAAAACATAAGTAGAAAGGAGTCAACAGCCTCTATTGTGTTACTCTATAAGGAAGGAACATGAGAAAACTTATGTAGGATCCTGAACGAGACTGTAATTACGGTGGGATTTAAACCTACAAACTCACTCAGAGATACACTTTGTCAGCTGGCTTTGGGATCCGATACATCTATACAATGACCGTGAGTCAGGTCAAGTACATAGGTCAGACTAGCTGGTCGGTGTCAGTTAGATAGATTAGCGGAACATTGAAATTTAGCTGAATATAGAAGTATAGATCTGACTGAATAAGATCAATAATCTAGAAAACGTACTCGGTTATTGCAATGGCACTGCATACATGAACACACAATCAGACAATATGGTGAGTAGGTTGAAACCAGTGTGCTGTTCAAGTCCAGTATAATTAGGTGGAGGTAGAGTGAGAGAGATTGATGACTGGATATTTGTTCATCGAATCGACACCACGTTTTACATGTAGTAGGAATGATGTAACTCGTATAGGAGAGATATATGGGAAAGTTTATTTCCGATGGAAAGGAATAATATCAGGTGACGGTGGTATATAAATCAGATGTTATTGCATTGATATGATAATGAGGAATGATGATTTATGCTTGGAATATCATCCAGTATATAATAGTATGTCACTCTGTTTTATATATCAAATAAACAAATGTAATGTGAAATCAAATTGTACCACAGTGCCCAAGTTTTACACTTATGTTAGCATATAGCTATCTAGCCATGAGTTTCGCTATCACAGTTCACTCTTATTGAGGTTGAATGTTTGAAGACTTTCAGCAAGACACCCTACTTGACCTAGATTCCCTGCTTTTTGACACCTGAGTGCCTAAGTCCACAACATCCTGCCAGCTGTCTTCATCCAGCTAACATTCAATTTCGGAAGCGTGTTAAGCACCAGGAAGACTAAGTGAAGTGCCTCTTGTTTGTGAATGGTATTAGCTTGACTATAGTAGCATCGACTTATCTGACTTTTAGAATGTGTAAATGACTATACAGTATCATGAGAGAAGCGACGTCCGAGGGTGATCCGGGAGATAATATTTGCCATGGAGCACACAACCAATATAAGCCAGTTCCGAGCAAAACATACAATCTACAATGCGAATGATAAGGCTAGATTAAATTCAAGGCGGAAATATGAACATAGCGACCTATCACGATTTGGATCTGTGGGGAACATCGACTTGTACAGCTTTCAGGTCAACATTTTGATTTTCGTAGTGTTTTCGTTGAATCAATCAGTGAAGTTCATTTCCAAAGAAAAAGTTTAAGAGTATCATCAGAATATGACACGGAATCGGTCTTGGGTTCGAGCGATGGGAAGGTCGTGCGTGCGCAAACCTGAGGAGTCATATGCAAAGAAGAAACAGCTGTCCTGTACTCTCACACTTCCAATATTCCTCCAAATGATGTCATTCCACAGTAAATTCCAACCTACCATCAAGAATACTTTGCATTTCAATAATGACCCGTCTAAATTTATTGGTAAATTTATAGGAAATGAAAATACAGTGTTGAGAGAAACATCAAAGCCTCTGTTATGATTCCATACAAGGAAGGCATCTCAGAAGTGTTACAAAGAATTCTAAATAAGG